GTCTGAAACATGTTTGTGTTCACACTACGAGGCTTGACGTTGCAGATGTCTCCCCCCCCCCCCCCCCCCTCCTATCGTAATTAAGAACCACGATGACGGAACAAAGAGAAACAGCTAAAGACATTTGCATGCAGAGATATTTATGAGTGTGTATTTGCAGAGTAAGCAATAATTCCTGCATTAAACTAAGAAAAGGAGAAACACGACTGTGATATATTACTTTGGCCTCGAATGATCACCTATGGCAGAGAAGAAGCATGTAAAGAACACAAAAAACCAGGCACTGGGAGGCCGTTGTTTTTTCTTCAAACTGTAAAATATATTAGTTTCAGCTTAAGAAGTCATAACTTTGAAGAACAAAAGATGCAGAGCAGAATTCGGCACATTCAAAGCAGAAGACCTGCATCACAACTTAATTGAATTTCCATTGCATTGTTATTCAGCCGCACGCCCACACAGATCAGCACAGAGATAAGATCTGCTGTACTGTAGAGAGCGTGAGGGAATGCCAAACACTGCAATCATGCATTCCATCAACATATTTCACTTCTGTAATTCTTTTGTACTCATGACGTAAAGATCATACTCGTGATACCTCTGTTATGTGTCCTCGCGACTACACTTTTCCTTATGAGGCTTCCCTGTAGATCACTGTTGGAGCAGAGCCCATGTACTAAGTCTTAAGTCCTTACTGCAGTCCTTATTCTCTTGGCTTGTGGGTTAATATATATATCATTTGTTTTGCTCACTGATCATTATCAACACCCTGCAGACATTTCATGCCATCATCTAATCGAAACGGTTTTGATCTGCCATGGAAGGTGAATATGTTCTTACAATTTTGACATGGGGAAGTATTTTCTATTATTGTGTACATCTAAGTTATGAGTAGACTAAATGATAACGAAAAACCTCTCACTATCAGCGGCATTCACATGATAAGCGACATAATCGTCTCTCTGATTGGCTTGGTGCCGGTGTGATCCATGGCTAGGTGTCAGCGCTTCCTCATTGCCGCTCACATCTTGAAATTGACGCAGAGCGTTGCACGAAAGGTTCAAATTATTTCAACTTTGACCTAGTAGTTACCCCTGACCTTTCGATCGCCGAACCAATGAGATGATAGCTCTATGTAGCGGACCAAGCTAGCTGGGGATGTAACCATAGAAACAAAAATATACTAGCCATTTTCATTGCAAGGCTCTGCTACCAACCTTGCGGTGAGCAAAGAGGCAAATTGCTTATCATGTGAATGCAACGTTAGGCAAATATCATTCAACAGCACCACGAACTGCAGCCTCCAAAATAAAGCTTTCTTTGTATTATGTTTTTTCTAGAATAATTTAAAAGATTGAAGAGTCTCTGTTGTTTTAGGAATGCTTCCCTCTTTTAGCTGAAGTTGACACTTGATGAAAAGGGAGGTGTGTTTTGTTTTTAGAAACCGTGTAACCTTGTTAAAGATGGGATGAAACGATGATAATGCTGCTGTTGTTGAAAGGTTGATGTTTTCTGTGTTTTTAGGAGCCACACATTCACACGTTGTTTTGTTGTTGAGAGCACGTCAGGCTGTCATTCCTCAGCCACGCAACAATTTAAAGGATTTGAATTTGTTTTGCTTTAGGACAGAAATTGCATAGTGAGTTTATGTAAACGGTTTTGCCCAAAACTGGATTTATGAGATGGATTTATTATTATAGAATTCACCTGAAGTGAACTTTCACAACATTGATGGCTGATGGCAGCAACATAGATCGTGTTTCCAATCATCAGGATGACATGCATTACAATGATTAGGATTACATTTTTACAACAATCATGTTTATCTGAACATTTAAAAAGGGAGCAGCACGAGTTGTGAAATCATCAGAAATGAAATTCAGTGTGAAGGGACATCGTGCAGCTTGTTTGCTGAATGTGCACATCACACACTTACACCGAAGCCTCCAACCAGCTCTCCATGCTTCTTCCATACCATGTCACTCTACATGCATAATAGTGTGGAGGGCCTTCCTCCCCTCCCAAATACCTCTGCTGGCCTCAGACACACACACACACACACACACACACCACACACACACACACACACACACACACACACAACACACACACACACACACACACACAGGCCTCTTCCTGAAAGAAAGAGCATGGTAATCAGAAGGAGTGGGCGAATCGATGGACTGCACTCCTTGAAAGGCGTAAATGGGACGGGGGGGAGGGGCGGCGGGTGATGGAGGGCGGCATGGAGCTCAAATTGATGTGAGGTTGCTGAAAATGAAGATGGCAACACGAGACAAAGAGAGGGCTGGTCCAGGCCCCGAGAGGAGAACGGAGGAAGGGATGCAAATTGATTTGTCTGGGGGATGGGAAGAGCAAGGGAGAAAGGAGAAGGGGGAATACATGGGGGAGGGGTGAAGAGGAGGTGAAAATGAACGTGGTGGAATAAATGAGGAAAAGCAAAATATTCTGCCGGGTGGCTGAAGTCCTATAATTGCCTTGATATTAACTGTCATCTTCAAAACCAGATAACATGCTTCTGCTCCTGAGCTTTTATGAGTTTCACTTTTCTGTACTTTTTTTTGTTCCCAACTTATTTACTTTACCAGGTTCCACCCACAAAGACTTGTTACTGTGGTCAGCTTCATATATATATATGAAAGTTAAAAGTGGATTTTTTGTGTACTGATTTATGATACGTTTTGACAATAAAACAGTTCACATTCTGTGCATAACCTTTTTTAAGATTGAAACTGTTCCCTTTCTACTTCCTCTTTCCAAATAAAATTGTTTTCATACGATGCAGAAAATTGTTCACCTTTCTTCATTCTAATTCTACTCCTAATGAACGACAATGCTATAAATCCGGCAGTAGTGTCAGGAAAAGCATGCTTGTGATGGATAATGTATTTTTGTTCTCAGGTTTTTGGAATATATCTATTATCAAGTGACTGGAAGAATTTGGGCTCAGCACTAAAACTCACTAAAACCGTTTGTAGAAATATTCACCTTAATGTTTGACACTGCCCTGTGAGTTTTCAGTTATAGTTATCAAAGGTCTGAGTCTGTGCGCTCTCCTTGGCGTGTGCTGGAAAGTGGTTAGACCTAGTGATCTTACCACTGTTGTTTACCACATTGGGTGCATTTCAAGGTGATGTGGTGTTATCTGACTTCTGAGCTGTGCGTGTGTGTGAGAGAGTGTGTAGTTCTCACAGTGTGGAAGTACAGAGTCATTGTGCTCAGGGCTTGTCATGAGTTGCACAGTTTCTCTTGGCTCTATATTTTCCCTCCTCTCTCAGTATGCAGTCCCAATATCAAATGCTCTGTCTGACATTGTGGCCTATTTCAGTATTGTGGTGATTTTATAGATTTTTGGTGATGCCTCGGATTACTTTGAACCGGTGTTTAAACTATGTGGGAAATAATGTGAGTCCATCTCAATATACATGGACACAAGGCCCATGTATTTCTCACTGAAGAAAACGTCTGAGGTTACTTTTACAACCCTTTGTTAGCTTCCAATGTGGCAATGTGAGCCTAAACTTAAGTTAGCAAATAAGAAAGTAAAACACCCGCTTCCTTCGCTCTTGATTTGAAGTGTTACGTAACGTCCGCACGGTTCCATCGCGTGCTTCAACGGAGACGCTTCCCATTCACTTTAGGGTGCCGTCAAGCTTTGCCGAACTGCATTGTGGTTCCGTCGCGTCGCTCGATTCAAAAGTTGAGAAAAGTTCAACTTTTCAAGCGTCGACGGAAGCGCCAGCCAATCAAATCATATGCCAGTACAAGCTCTAGCCAATCAAACCGTGTGCTTGTGAGTCCGGGGGCGGGAGACTAATGTGAATTGGTTGTTGGTCGCCACGCCAGACACGCCCACCAGCAAGCTTCAACGTGACGGAACCGTGTGGACGTACCGTTAGTGCTTGTTTCCATGGCAGTGATGCCTGATGGGACCTGATATAAGATGTGTGGTCCTATTCTTTCTTATTTCCTTGTTCCTCCTGTCAGCTCATCTTAAGATGAAAAGTTCAAGCTAGTTTGTTTCCAGGGGATATTTCTGTTGCTTCTGCTCGGTGCTTAGAGAACAGCAGATGGAACGGATTAGGGTTTGATGTTTATGCTCCAAGGCCTCACTTGACCTGAAGAGTTCAGATGCTGTCAGGATGTGTGTCTGTCAAGTGGATGGTTGCAGAAAAATAAAAAAAACTGCTTTATATTGGTGCTGCAACTAAAAAGAACTTTCATTATTGATTAATCTGCCGAATGTTGTCTGGATTGTTTGGCCTATTAATTGTCAGAAAATAGTGAAAAATGCCCATCGCAGTTTGAACTTGTCATGTGAATAGAGTGTTTCAGATCAGTGTGTGGATGGCTGCTCGTGTTGTACAGACACAGCAGCACGTGTCCATCACCGCTGACCTCAAAGCCACACATGAATGTGAGGAATGCAGACTGAGGGGTCAGATCAGATTCATAGGTGGCCTGGTTTTTCTGGCTTTATGGTGTGTGGTACTGAGTCGCAGTCACATGACCACAGGACCACTAGAGTCAAGGTCACATGGTGTTCGTTGGGCTCTTTGATGTCATGGAGAGGGTTTCATTCAAATGTGTTATCCAGTGCTGATGCCAATACAGATTGTGATTCATGAACACTGAATGCTCCTTCCAATTCTGACTAGGGTTGGGTATTAGTTAGAATTTTACCGTTTTCAAATTCTGATTCCGGTTATGCTTATCGATACCGGTTCTTAAAATGTACCAAGACAGTTGTTACCTAGCATCATTTGGTAACATCTCTCTTGGTACATTCTTAACATGATGATGACACTCCATTGGGTCCCAGGTTTTTCAATTTTTTTCATAAACCAATTGCAGTTTAGTATGTAGAAATAGAACACATCTATCTGAAAGGCCATCTAAAAGCAAAACTCTTTATTCAAAATGGCGGACACATTGTTTAGTTATACTGGTGGTTAACTGGTCCCTCTGTCTCTCTCTTCCAGCATACCTCCCTGTCGGCCAGCCGCTCAGAGAAGGGTACCGGCTGGTCGAAGGCCGCTCACTTGGTGCTCGATGTCGTAACTCCATCGCCTTGTGCTCAGATGAGCAGCCGCACATCGGAAACTACCGGCTGCTCAAAACCATCGGCAAGGGCAACTTCGCCAAGGTCAAGCTGGCACGACACATCCTGACCGGCAGAGAGGTGAGTGAAAAGAACCAGGAAGAGGTTCCCAGGTGTCTGGAAAAAGCTGGCAGACAGTCGACACATGTTCTAGTCACTGAAAAGTTGTGGAATATGCTAAAAATCTTGCTTTAATGTTGGGAAAACTACATGAGCACACTCCTAAGGCTTGTCACATGATAAACACATGACATGACTTTCTTCCCAACTAGTTTAAAGGGTTGAATAATGTTTAAATGATAAGCTCTTTGGTCTGGTTGCTAAAGTTAACAAGCTTGCTTGCTGGTTTTGGCCTACAAATGTTTGTGGTCTGTGATTCAACTTTGTCCAGAAGCAATGGTTTCAAATGTGGTCTTAGGCAATTGTATAACATAAAATAAAACATAAATATAAATGGATAGAACTCCAAGGCCAACAATTGTATGGGAGCCGAGCTGTAATGCAAGTCAAACATGCCTAAGTACTATCTAAGTACAAAGCTGCATTGTTGAGTTAGAGTTAATAATAACATGATATGAAAGGGTTTAACTCGTGTAGCACTGAAGGGGAAGGACAATAGGATCAAATCAAAGAGTCACTGGCAGTTCATAATCCTAGAAATGTTACATTTAGTGCTGATTTGTCAACAGCTAACGTATCACTGCAAGTAACTATGAAGTCATGCATGCTGAGAATGATGAGGCTGAAGGAAAAGAGTGGATGGTTTGGGAGCAGAACAGAGCATACCCTGTGACTCAGCCCACAGAAGGAGTTTTAAAAAGGACTATTCCACAGAGTTCAGAGCACCTTGTGTTCCCTTACAGCCAGCCAAAAACCATCCTGCCTCAGCACAATCCAAGTCTTGAAGAGACACAGCCAGGTTTACTTGTGTGTGTTTAATATACTGTAGTCTTTCTTCTCGTAAAAACCTGACCTACATTAGTTTGAGTGAATGTGTCCATAGGGCTCAGTGAAGCTGTGTGTGGTCTGCCGCTGGCTGCATCATGTGAAGCTGTTGTGTTCCAACCGTATACAGCGGAAGACGGTCATACTGTGGTGTTTGCCGCAGTCTGTGACCCGGGTCATCACATGTTGTTAAGCCTCTTATGAGCCTTGTTTGTTTGTTTAGTGGATTTGATCTCATGTGTTCTTCACAGGCTGGAACACACTGTCATTTGAACTGTTGGTCAGCGCTGCTGTGTGCTTTTGTTTTGTTCTAGTTCATCTTGTGAACTGTAGATAATATAAATTGTAATGCATGATTTATGTAATCCAGAGAGCATTATTCAGTAGTTGCAAGACTGTTAAGGGCAAAGACAGCCTCATGCCGATTTTAGACTAAAATAGTTCATGATAAATACAAATAGGGCTGAAGCTATGAGTAGGTAAGACAAAAAAATAATCAGCAAATAAGTTGATAAATTAGTAATATAAAGCCAAATTCGATCCTTTGCTATTATCTGATTTGTATTTGACAAAAAGATGAATTAGGAAAATAATCAGCAGATGAATTACCAATGAAAATAATGAAAAAGGGAATCCCTATGAACCCCAAGCAGTTTTAGAGTGACGTAAGGGTTTTTTCTACGGAAACAACACAATATGGTTAGAAATATGGAGAAGTCTTAAATATCTTAGATTTTTTTACATTGTCTAATTTCTTTATCTGTTGTTTCCTTCCAGGTTGCAATAAAAGATCATTGATAAAACCCAACTTAACCCAACCAGTCTGCAGAAGGTGAGTGAAATGCAACAGTGTGTTTGTGTAAAGATGAATCAAAGACAGGAAGAAGTATACCTCGGCCATCTGTTTCTTCTTGGTGCTTATTATTTTGTAATATTGTCTTAACGGTTACTATAAAACATCATAACTGTTGTCCTATTGTTATGTTTTTGGTGATCCCTGTCACCTCCAGCTTACCTCATGTTATCGCTGTTACTCGAAGTATCCTTAGGCAAGAATGAACACACACATTGCTCCTGATGGCAGAGCCAATAGTGGGTGTGAATGTTTAACACTCCTGATTAGCAGGTGGCATCTTGTATGACAGACTCTGTCACTACTGTGTGAATACTGACTTCAGTTGTAAAAGTGCTTTCAAAAGTCAACAAGATTAGGAAAGCATTATATAAATGCAATCCATTAAGCATGTAACCTCTTGAACTACATGATATATGTGAATGCATCACATGTAATGGCAGTCTGTATCCTGAGTGTGTTTATTTGCAATTGCGTTGCATCACAGAAGCATCTTTTGATGTTGTTTTGCCTTGGGTTATAGCCCTCAGGTTTGCTGCTGCGTGCAGCAGTAATTCTGAACTTTGACCTTTGCGTTGTTATGTGAAACAACACAAAGGCTGCAGGAGCTGAGAAACGTTGCATTAGTTCGGGGAGGGTTTGTTAAATGTTGATACTTGGGAAGATGCCTCTTTCCAAGTTCAGCTGTCCCTCTTCTGTTTGATAAAACCCCTTCCTGTCCAGTTATATGGGTCATTTTATGGAGACATTTCAATAAGCTAGAGACACGGAGTTCTACTTTGTGTCAATATCACATAACCATCATGTGTGCACACTAGGGATGTTAGATTCACCGATTCTCATCGGTGCACCGGCATAAACATTCAAGATTGCGAGTGCACCGGTTGAAAGAGTGCACATCGGCTACAGTTTGGGTTGAACTCGCGATGCAATCGATTGTAGCGTCTTTGCATCGGTAAACAAACGATTCATTCATATAATACCCTCTCATCCTGTCAGCACTCAGCAGAGACGATCTTTGATCTTTGCTTCGCACTACGGAGGGCCGAGAGTCTCAGTTATCAACACACATGGAAGTCGAGGAGAAAGAGAAACACAGCGCACCGAAAAAATACCTACAAATCAAACGTTTGGTAACACTTCGGATTTTTCAAGAAAGACGGTCAACTTCACAAATCGCTCGCAAATTGTAAACGATGCCGAGCCGCTTTAAAGTACACAAGTAGTACGAGGAAGTTAGCGACGCACATAAAGAGGCGACATGGGGTCTGCGGCTGAAAAGAGAAACCTGAAAGTTAGACATGAGTGAAATCACTCAGTGAGGTGTTCTGTCAGAGAGAGTGGTGTTTAGTTTACAGCAGCCTGTGACGGCCAATAACAGTTTAAATGTCTTCCTCACTGTAAGCAGTTAAGAAATACCTGTTTGTGAAAGAGGTTATATTCTTTATTGTTCCTATAGAAACCACTGCTTTCTGCTCACTGGTGAGTTAGCCTATGAATGAGTGTTAAGCACATCAGGCTGGCAGCTGTATGGGCATTGCTCTATGGTAGCTGTTATTAGCACATTGTTAATCATGAGCAATGCATCCTTACATTGTTTAACTGTGAGGTGTTATAACATTGTACTGTACTCTGGAGAGTTTAAGGTAAAAAATAAACAGCATGATGGGATGTGCAGTACCAAATATGTAAAGCACTTTTTTTTAAATGTATGATTTGCTGCATATAAGGAATAAAACAAAAATCCTCTGTCGTACCATATTGAAGTATCATTATTTTGCATCGTGTTGAATCGTATCGCCCCGTATCGCATAATGTTGAATCAAATCGTATCGAACTGTATCGCAACAGGGGTGAATCGTATCGCCTGGTGTTTCAAATGTATCGTTAATGTATCGTATCGTGGCAACGTATCGAGATGCGCATTGCATCGGCCTCAGTGATGGAGATGCACATCCCTAGTGCACACAGCCCTCTAACTAAGTTAAATGATCATGTGCGTCACTGTATGCTTGTCTAGGTGAGCTGCCCTCATGGCTCTAATGAGATGATTCCCTTCTGTCTGAACTTGGCCTGCCCCGCTGTTTGTGTGCTTGATGCATGTGTTCATTGAGAGCGATCTAATGAAACAAAATTGAGTGAGAAACAGCCTCAGGCCTGCTTCCTGTTTTCAAACAGTTAACGATGCTTTGTTTTCCTCATCTGGCTTTGTTAGTGGAATGTTCATGATGGGGTGGTGTCTGTGCTGTTTAGAATAAATGTTAGATGTAACTTTTGGGACCCCTCGAAAACGAGATAATTCATCTCAAGGGGTCATCCTTAAATAAAGTTTAATACGCTTTTATTTTAAATTGTCTTCAACTGCTTTCTTTTCTTTGCTTTGTGTGGAAGATAAGCATATTGGTGTTTATTTTCATGTTGTCAATGCAGGTTAAGTGCATTCACACTTAATAGTCCGCTCTCTGGTGGTCATGTGCACGGAAATGCTGTTCCACCATTGGTCAGACAATGAGGGGTAAAAACGCAAATCCCGGCAATTTCTACCGGAGCCTCCGCCATGGAGCATCGGCACTTTCTACAGGTTATTCTCATGCTGCTGTTAATCTGGAGATCAATAGACGCCAGCGGCCCGCGCATATGATTATATAATCAGACAACGTCCGTTAAAAAACATTATAACACATAATGAGACGTTCTGCAGTCAGGAGGGCGTTTCACCGACGACAGGTGGCTCTTACTTTTATGTAGCTGACGGAGCATTTTTACTTTACACGACACTGTTCAACACTTAATTCTGCTTCACTCTTTAACTAAACAACCGCGGATGTCTTGAAAGAGTCTTTCGCTAAAGATTTTGAAGATATCCGCGTTCTTGTGACACGTAAATACTACGCTTCCTATGTTTTGGTGCGGACTGCGTTCACACCAGCAATGAACCGCTCCAGAGTTCGCAAGCAAGCACTCCGAGACCACCTATTTTAGCGGACCAGAGTCCGGTTGTTTAGTTCACTTCAGAGGTCTCGGACTGTGTTCACACCGACCCAAATGAACCGCACCAAGCGGCTAAACGCCCCAGGGTTCGATTCAACCAGACTATAAAAGGCAGGTGTGAATGCACCCTAATTGAGGGGAAATTATATCTTACATTTCACTGTTTCCAATTATATAAAAAATACTCCCTCCAGGGTTTTCTAGGATTGCTGCCAACTTTAATTTCCATTATTGATTCATCTGTTGATTCTTTTTTTCGTTTATTGATCGATACATTTTTTGTCAGATAAATGTCAGATTTGTTTTGTGATTTCTTGTGGCGTTCAAATGTAATGTATATCAACAGTCAATTTACAGTGAACAAGGATGTAAAACTGAGAACATAAAAGAAATACTAACATTAGGAAACTGTTCCCTGTAAATGTTTAGCACTTTTACCTTTAGGAATGGCTAAAAACAATGAGCTGATCACAGTGGAGGCTATTTATTAATGCCATCTACTACTGTTGGTTTTTCCCACCTTTTGCCCAGGCCTCCGTCATTGTGGCTCTTGGTCACTCAGAGGCAGTGTTAACCTTGTGTGTGGTGTGTGTTCTCACAGTTCACACAAGTCCCTCTTTGTTCAGAAGTGGCTCTGCTGACCAAACGGTGGCCTGTTTGATTATGAGCTTCTTTATCGTCACCTTCACTGCTACAAATACCCTCCAGTGCATCATCAAATCAATACTGCATCACACAGCCTATTGATGGTTCTCAGCTGGTTAGCTAACCGTCCGGGCCGGGCTGGGACTCTATTGATGACACTGCCGGTTATTGATGGTGTCTGGCCTGGTGCTAGTTGGTCCACATAGCCTAGATACTGGTAGGATTTATAACACTGCTCCTCTGACTATTCACGTCAACCCATAAGGAAACAGAACAATATATACACCATGTAAGTAAAGATAGAAATAAGAGTAGATTCTCTCATTCTGTTAGATCAGTGCCATTCCTTTTAGTTTGCGTTCCACTTCTAATTTGAACATTGATGGATTATTTTAAAAGGTAATCGTATATCTATCATGTTCCTGTTCAGCCACAGCTCCTCTCTGTTATATTTTCTGTCCCCGTATTCAGTTTCAACTGGGAAACTGCATGAACATCATTTCTTCTCTTAAAACTATTTCTTACCTTGATTTAAGAGGATATGAAGGAGAAAGGGTCTCACTACCAGACATTCCCACACTGGAAGAAGTCTGAGTCCATCCTTAACGAAGTTTCAGATGAGCAAATATATTTGAACACAAGAATGTGCAAGGTAACAAAACAGTGTACAGAAAAATGTAAATTAAAATGTTCACAATTTGATTCCGACACGCACTACCTGCATACTAAACAAAAATCTTGAGGACCCTCACAAATCTTGCAACCTTTAAATTGTTTGTGTTAGTGAGAAAATAAACACAGATGGTATCCAATCGTTACTGTGAAATCTAAAGCTTCAGTTTTGGCAGTTCTATTTCAACATATTTCAGCCTAGTATGGATTATTTGGGAAATGGATAGATATTGCTTTCTGCTACATTGCAAAGGGTCGTTAACAAAAGGCTGCATTGCTGCAAGCTGATTGTGTCCTAGATTAACACCTAAACAAGGTGATACAAATGCTTTTTCATCTTTTATAAAGAACTATTTTGCAGTATTAATCTACAACAACACAACTCGCTGCAGAGTCACATTCTGTTATCTCCACCTATTGACTCTAGTTAACAGAGGTGAAGCGGGGGGGGATGGATGATGTCTGTTGGTTGTTCTGCTGTGGGAACACACACCTTTTGTGTTAAACACCGTTCTTCTGGAATTCACCTTTTTTTTCTTTCTCTCAGAACATCATTTGCTTCCTGTTTTACTTTGACATGCTTCTCAATTACTCCATGTGCCCTTCAACTCTTTAAGCTTAGACCTTGGTTCTAACAGGGCGTGTGTGTGTGTGTGTGTGTGTGTTCTGCA